TATATATAAATACACACTGTACACTATACAAACGTCTAAAAGTACATACTTCTTTTACCGTTTGTTCTAGATAGACACATACGGTGGTGTCCATGTGACATTGGTTAGAACCGTTGCTTTGCTACAAATCTAACAAAACCCTAGTGCCTTTGGTGCTTTCTCCCTGGCCAGGATGTGCCAAATGCACCACAGATTTAATATATCTAATTCTAATAGGACCATACAGGGGTTACTTTGGTATGACAATGTTTTAGGAAAATGGGTTAGAGCGTAAAAAACAAAATTTTGGGCTTTATTGTAATCTTTTAAAAATTATAAGGGATACTAGTGATAATTTTGCTAGCTTTTATTACTAATTACGCCATATAAATTAACTTTTTTATTTTGCAAAGTTAACTTTGATTACTTGAAATTTATGAAACTACTTTTTTATTGGAATATTAAATTCACACGATGGTAAGAGTTAGAAAGATTAGTGTAGTTGAGATGAGGATGTTGAGATGGATGAGTGGCAAGACAAGGAAGGATATAATTCATAATGAATACATTCGAGGGAACTTGGGGGTACCTTCAATAGGCGATAACATGTGGGAAAATAGATTTAGGTGGTTTGGTCATGTGGAATATCGACCTAGAACAACACTAGTTCGGGGGTTATTTTGTTCTAGTGGAAATCTCTAAAAGGATAAGGAAAGGGCCTGAATGGGCATGAATGAAAGTAGTGAGAGAAGATATGGTGACTTATGGTCTAACTAAGGATATGGCCCTTGATAGAGTGAATGGCTGAACAAGATTTGTGTAGCTAACCCCAAATAGTTGAGATAAAGCTTGGATGATGACAAAAGTGCTAGAAAGAAATACAAGTTTCATATTATAATTGATGCAAAGTTGTGGAAGTGTGGATGCAGTCTCTTAAATACAAAAATAAAAACGTTGTAACTTGTGATGAATTGATCAAGACCTGGATAATGTCTTTACTGCATAGGCTTTTAATTTACATACTATTGCAGTATTCTTTTATTCAACTTGATTGACTTGGAGGAACCATGCTTATTGTAACACATTTGGATCCATAATAAGTATGTCTTAGAGTGGGAAATTGCAGTTGGGCTACGTTACAAGGGTGGTTTTGTAGTTTATATTCGTATTAAGAGCGAGGGCGTTCAAAGAACAAGACTTCTTCATCTTCTCCTTTTATCTCCATTATGTTACATGTAGGATAAGGCAATATGCTTATTTTGTCCAATGTTGCATATGCCTGAAATAGTGTTTCATATTTCATGATGTATTGTTGGTTTAATGGAAGGGATGTTCATTGGCCAAAAAAACAAGATGAGAATTGTTGGGTTTTTGTGGCCATTAAAGGCCTTTTGAGAGCATGTAGTCAATATTTTGATACAGAGGAACAATGAACTTCAGTGGGAGTATGGTCCAGTGGGACCAAAATTGGCAAATGATGTTTGCCGAGACTCAGACTAGGCTTAACGAACTAGGCTAGTCGAGTTACAAAACCCTAAATACCTGAGCATAGATCACAACTCATGAGAGCTAGCAGGGTTATCCCGTGATGAGGTCGGAGCTGCCTAGGGTAGTGAGCCAAGGGACTGTGTGACCTTTGTGTGTGATGGTAGGGGTTATAGGGACGAGGGCCACAACCTCATCTTGAACCATCACATGGTATGTACATATGGTAGCCGTATTGGGAAAGCAAAGCACCATTGAGGGTGATACATGTACATGTACGAGAGATGACCCCTATATGCACCATAGAGTTATGGTTGTACAAATTTTGTGTCACCTTGGACTTGTCTTTAAGGGGGAACCTGTAACCTATAGACTAGGATTGTGCCTCCTCATATATTGGCTGACTTTGGTAGCCCAATCATGAATCCCTGTGATGGTCTGTAGGTCATGGGAACTGCTGGCTCGGTTTGAGAAAGTGAGTGTTATAGTCCTCAGTAGAAGATGGAGTGTTTCGGCAAATTTATAAATGAAGAGAAAATGAATTTTAATTGTTTTAAATATTCAGAGAGAAATATAAAATAATTACATTTTTCTAAAAATCCTTTAAAGTTTTTTATAAAGTATAAAATATATGGGGGCCCACCATTATGATAGATGTGGGAAGTGCGTGGGGCCCACATAAGGGCCTCATGAGTGGCGCGCACCTCCTTTTGTATACTTTCTAATTTTTGATGAGGTTATCAAGGCACTCAATCAACTAAAACAAAAGGGGAAAGTTTGAGAAATTAAAAGATTTGATTATAAAACTTAAAGCATGTGGAAGAAGATTATGGAAAAGTAAGGCAAGTATAGTATATTTTTCATATTATTTTTATTTGATAGGATTAGGTTAAGGAAGCTGAAGGATAATGTTCTAGCACCTTCCTTTTAATCATGATGGTTGATCTAAGGATTGTATAGTTAAGATCTCGCACCCCACAGGTCTCCTATGATCAATGGTCTAGATCTATTACCTATAAGGATGGCTAACCCTAAAAAACCCTAACCCTAGAGAAAGTTATAAATAGGCCTCATGGGGGGCTCAATTCTCTACACCTCTCATCTCTCTCTCTCCCCCCCCTCAAAGGTGGCACACCACCCGCTGTCCATCTCTCTCTTAATCTTTCACATCTTATCTAGCCTCCCTTCGAATTTTAGATAAAAAAAAAAGGAGGGGCACACAACCCTAGCGTCCCAAAGGGGCACCCCCCACTCATAAGGCATTGAGGTCATCTTGCTTCGCCCATAGTTCCACCATTGCTCTCTGATTTGTTAAAGTGTTGTAGCCTAAGGCTTCCCATACTTTGAAGATCTGAGATAGAACATCCAGTTGAGATAATCTTCTGGCATCTTGTTCTATGGTTTGTAGTCTTGTGATTTCTTGTGCCCAAGAGCATTATGTGCTTTTGTTTACTAAATAAAAGAAGTTTTTATTAGTGGCAGCAAGTGAGAGCTTTTTTTGTAATTGATATTTGTTTATTTTAAGTTGATTTTATTGTATTTGGACCTCTGTAAGTGTTCTAGCTGGTAAAAAAAAAGAAAAATTAAAAACAATATATATCGTGCTAGATCACCCTATCCAACTTTCAATAATAACTGTGACATTATTACTTACATGGGTTTGACAAAGGTATTCAAAGCTTGTTTGACTTTCTTCTGGTTCGACATGGATTTATTGGTCTTGCTGTATCCTTTTAATTTAGTTTGTATCAGTAATTTTCAGTTATTTATTTCTTTGAAAGGGTGAGTGTACGTGTTTGTACCATTGTGTTTCTAATCCTCCTGTTATGAAATGACTAATGATAGATCTCAGTGTTTTGGCCGGGTATAATGAAGAGAGCAGAAATTAGGAATGAGGAACAAATTTTAATTGTTGGTAGGAAACCCATTTTCTGAGTGAAAGTGCAAATAATAGAACTTCTAGGAACATTATATGTACTCTGATTCAATCTAAAGAAGAGAAAGGATGTTCTGCCAGGTAGATGTGGAGAAGTTGCATGACTACTTGGATTGGATAGTTTGGTTTTATATTTTGGAGCCACTGGGCTTCAGACTGTATGGGTCTTATGGATCTTTGAATGCTTTGTTGCCTTCACTTCAGGTGTCAAATCTCGATCAACAGATTAGTAAAAGAATATGTTACTTTGGGATTTCTGGGGGGCTTCAATAGTCTTTTATCTCTTGTTTAACCTTTTGAGCAATTATTGGGCATGCTTTTCCTTTCGCTGTTGGCATTACTCTCTAGTTTAAGTTTTTTATTTTCTTCTTCTTTTTCAATAATCCCTTTTTGCAGTACCTTATGAGTCTTGCTTCATATATAAGGTCTCAACAATTTTTTTTTCCAAATATTAATGAAAAAACACAATTTCCTATGGCTATGTATAGTATGACACACATGTCATTTCGATGGTATGGTCTTAGGGTTATCACTATCCGCTTTATTGTTTGGAATATTGGATGGTAATGATGGGGAAGTTGACCATACAGTTTGCCTTTCTTTTATCAGCTTAAGGTGTTTTAGATTACCTTATATGGTTCCATGACCTGTGTTTCTCTCTCTCTGTCTTTGATTTCTTTCAAGAGAGTTTATGGATCTCTTCTCAGTGGTGTCAAGCAAGCCTAATCACTCTTGCAGCTTCTCTTAGTAGCATAGTGCCGTGGATCTTGTATATGCCTTCTTTATATAACACCTAGCAAGTGATATGGAGAAAAATATCGCCTTCCCTTGTGGCTAGATACACCGCCACTCATATTCTTGAACTAGTATAGGAAAGATTACCTTATTAAGGATATAGCATTATGTAGGGGCAGAGTTATAAATTGACATTTATATTTGGGAAAATTTTGTATAGACCCCTAATTCTCCATCTTATTTCACGGTAGACCCTCATTCTATTTTTCTTTCAAGCGGCATTAAAAAACCTTCAAGTATTTCACCGTACTCCCACATCTTTTCTCTCGTAGGTTTATTCACTTTTGGCCACAAAAACTAGCCCCAACAAATTATTTTATTTAATCTCAATCCAAAAGCTTGTTTAACCCTATTTTGCACTTTTGCAATTCTGTGTTGATTTTGCCAAAAAAAAGAAAGAAGAAGAATTCAATTGTGTTTAAATTGTGTGTGCGCACGTGTGTGCAAGAGAGTGAGAGAGTTTTCAAGAAGTACAAAATAGGGTTAAAAAAGATTTTGGATTGAGATGGAATAAAACAATTTGTTGGGGCTAGTTTTTGTGGCCAAAAGTGAATAAACGTGGGAGAGAAGAGATGAGGGGGTATGTTGAAATACTTGAGGGTTTTTTTATGACCTTTGAAAGAAAATAGAATGAGGGTCTACCTTGAAATAAGATGGGGAATTGGGGTTTGTACGAAATTTTCCCTTTATAGTTGTCTTATTTTATATTTACCTTTCGTAAGCCTGGATGAGAAAGGAGGGTTGTGTTAGGTTGGCAGCCTACGGAAACTTTTGCCACATCCCCATAATGAAAGATGACCCCAAATGGTTGGGATAAGGTTAGGATAATGATGATGGTGATTTTAATTTCATAGACATAGATATGTGCATTTAAATTTATCTCTTTCTTTTCTTGGGCAATTTATGTATTAATACGAGAGAAACATACTAACTACAAGTATGTGTTGTCATCCCCAACATTTTTTGTTACGTAAAAAAAATTATAGTTCTTTTGCCTTTTTTACTTTTATATTGGCAGTTTCATTTTGTTAAGCAACATGCACAGACATGGGAAACAAGATCTGACCCCACTTCTCAGCTACCCAAAAAAAGACAAAAGGAAACAAGAATAAAAGATACAGTAAATAAAAACAGAGAGATGATAAGGAGGAACCTAATAAAGCAATCAATATTCTAATCGCGTCACATGGAAAATGGCTTCCTTAGCCATGGAGGAAGCTGCCTACTCAATCTCATAAAGTGCATGGTAGAAAGTAAACAACATCATCTTGCATAACTCCCATGAGCTAAGCTATAACTATAGCAATGCGAAGAGCTACATTTTCCAAAGGACCCATTAACCACATTAAATCAGTTCTAGCAAGGTAGGTCCTGACAGAAATTTAGGCAAGCCTATGTACTAATATCATCATAAAACCTGCTACCTTGGTTTAGAAGTGTTCCGAAAGCGATCAAAATTGAATTTAACTACCCATGGGAGGGATCCACTTTGGGCATGAATGGGTAAACATTTGCTTGGAGTGGTTTCTGGAATTCTTAGTGGATCATTAGTTTGGATATTTTCTTCCAGTTAGCTTTTCTAATTAATGGAAATGTTTGACAGGCAGATTGGGTGAGTGAGGTCAAAGGTTTAAACCCTTGAAGTTTGTCCTGGAAAACCCAAATAACCTGACCCACTCTTTTCTAGGAATTGGCCTTGGGCCTGATTGGTCAGTTATTGATGGTTGAAATGCTACATCCCAAGGTCAATTCCTATTGCTGAACTACCAAATAAAACAAATAAATAAAACCTGTGCAAATGAGTGAAATCCATAGATATCTTTTAAATATGTTATTATGTCAATTTGATCGCTTCCTGAGTTGAACCAATGGATTTGATTATCTGTTTATTTGCTTATGGTTAACAAAAGAGTTATTATCCATTTCAAATCAGATATGGGCTATTGAACTTGACCCTTTTAGAGTTTGCTACCATTTTCCAGGAAGAGACAACAGAAAGACCAAAGAAGAGGTTACATCTGGACACTGAAGTCGGAAGTTCACCAGAACTCATGCCTGTGAATAGATGCAATTGTGACAATGGCAATAACAAGAATCCTGTGGAAAGTGGTGATGCCATAAAAGTGGGACCCATATTTCGGTCATATGGGGAAAGCTCTCAGTCTAGTTTTTCCTGTCACGGTCAAAGGCATATCGAAAGTGGAAATTTCAGCAAGATACCTCCGGAACTTTTTCATCATATACTGAAATTTCTCTCATCAGAGGTGATAATCTGGTGTGGGAAGGCTGTATTTCCGTTCAATGAAGAGTGCATATGATTTAAAAGAGTTGTTTTAGTTTAAATTATTGATATCCCTGTTTACCTTGTTTCCAGGATCTGATTTCTTGCTCATTAGTTTGTCGATTCCTGAGCTTTGCTGCATCTGATGAATTCCTCTGGCGTCGTTTGTGAGTATATATGTGAATCCAGTTCTTCTAGATGTGTATTTTGGCAATGTATTCGTGAGAAATCCGAAAAAAACAATTATAATAACCCTTGTTATCAGGTTTTCTTCTTATAATGACCACTTTTCTATTATTTAAGCACAATTGCTCACAGAGGTTTCTAAGGAATATAAATTCTTTCCTTTAGTGATTAAGAAGGTATTACTATTAGTTATGTTCTCTGTGGCTCTCCATGCATGCAGTTAAGTATTTGCTTGTTTTATGATGCATGTTGTGTATATGGATGTTTGTGTGTTGGTTGTCACTGAAGACTACACAGTGAAGTTTCCAGTTTGTTGTGGCGTATTATCTTATTCAATAAGTTACTGAGTGACATCCTTCAATTTAGTGTGTCAGCAAATACTACAGGAGGGTAATAGATTAACTGCAATGATTTAAAAAGTGGATCACTTAGCACTTAGGCGGTCCAGTAGCCCTAGGCGGGCGGTCCCTGGGCGGCCGCCCAGGGCTTGCGCCCCACCTTGGGGCAGAAATGCCATTTGTTGAGGGTTTTTTTGAAAAAAAATTGTTTTTAAAGGTGGGTTTTAGGTTCATTTGATACCTAAATCGACTAGAGCCCATTTTAGAGAGAGAGAAACTTAAAAAAAGAAAAAAAAAAAACTAGATTTTGTGATTTTCATTGGATCAACGTGTTTCTCAAAGTTACGAGAAATGTTTCTCAAAGTTACGAGAAATGGATCTAAACATCACCCATTAAGATTAGATTTAGTTTTGGAGTTTTCTTAGACCTATTAGAAGGTGCTTTTGAAGATTTTAACACTAGAATACATCTCAGAGGTGGAAGTTTGGAGATCGAGCAATCAAAGTGCAAAACTTTATCTTTTAGATCGTTTGTATTATTTTTAGATGTCTTCTTCAATATCTAGTCGAAGTGGACATTTGGGTTGGAAATATCGATATAAACCGAATTCGAATGACAAAAATTGCATAAGATGTAATTATTGTTAAAAAGGATACAAAAGGGGGCATAAACCAGTTTAAGATACATCTTACCGGTATTAAAGGGAATGTTGCCCCTTGTAAAAATGTTTCTGAAGCTATCAGACAGGAGATTAACCAATATATGAGTTCAGTAAAACACAAACATGAACAACATCCTTGTCATTTGCGCCTTGTTTTATGGAAATATCTTCTCCAAGTTCTTCTAGAAGTGGTGATCCCGGTTGGAAGTGTGGTCATAACTCGAATCCAAATGACAAAAATTGTGTTAGGTGTAACTATTGTGGAAAGGATACTAGTGGGGGTATTTACCGGTTCAAGAAACACCTTATCGGTATTAAGGTGGATATTGCCTCATATAAAAATGTTACTGAGGCTACCAGGGAGGGAATTATACAATATTTGAGTTAAGGGAAGCATAAAAATAAAGAAAATGGTGAAGAGGCACCAGGTAGAGCAGCCAAGACTCCTAGGGCCTCATCTGCACAGAGTAAGAGGGAGATAGAAGAAGAGGAGACAGAGGCAAATTCAGAAGAAACAGAGGAGTACTAGCTTTATGTTGAAGAGGGAGATGACTTTGATGATGATGGCCTCGAATCTAATGCATATGATAAGGCTTACCCTACTACTTTTGATGATGTTGATGACTGAAGAATGAAGACGCTTGACTCTTGGTGTTGACTATTGAGTCTTAGACTGTATATTTTATGTCTATTTTTTTTTTCTTATATTTTAGTTTCTAGTTTCTACTATCTAACTCTTGTATGTATGCTTGTATGGTTCTAGCATTGTATGAAAATATGGATTATGGACTATTTAAATTCTGCTCATTCATGTAAATATGAATTATGGATTATGTGGTATATAGTTATAATGTTAGATTTAGACTTACATTTTTCTTTGTACTGGGCCGCCCAGGTTCTGGGCGCCCGCCTAGGCGCTGGGCAGCTTGTTGGACCCTCCCAACCGCTTAGGTGCCCCTAACGCTTTTGAAACACTGGGCTAATATGGCAATTTTCCTTGGTTATGTTCTCATATTGATAATATTTCATCTCTGAGTTTCTTATAACTGAATTTCGACACCTAAGATTTATACATTTGTGTGAAGTGGAGATCCACACCTCAAGCTTTTTTAGTTAGATTGTAATATTAATGCCTCTTTGGCAGTATAATTATTAGCAAGAACAATATAGTTAGATTGATAGTTTTCTCGAACTAGTCGTTGAATTTTGTTAGTATATAATCTCAAGATCTTCTTGGAGGCATTTGTAGGAATGGTGTTTCATGTCTCAGTATTAATGAAAATGATGTGTATCTTTTGGTTATTCTGTAGAAACCATGCTCTTTTAACCATGTGTTCAGTTCGTTTGATTCCCATGACAACAAATTGTCATTGAGAGTAAACTTGCTTGTTTCTCATTTTACTGATCAAAGGGTTCTTGCCAGAATCGATTGATATATAAGGGTGAGTTCCCTTTAGATCCTACACATGCTACCCTTTGTTATGAAGTTTTTCTTCTCTTTTCTTTTTTAAATTTTTTTGGTAAGTGGATCTTACTAAACGGACTGAAAGTATAAAGAAAGTAAGTAGTGTCCAAATACTCAACCTGAAATTGATTATGAGGAATCATCTCAAGGAGCAATGGCTATGGATTGATGATGAGCTCCATCCAATGTTCAAAAGAGCGCAGGCGGGCCTAGGCGTTTTGGGGGGCGGTCACGCGCCCGACCCGGAATAGGGGATCCCCTTCCCAGAAGAAAAACCTCCCCCCTTCCTTAGGCAAAAAGGACTGAGGAGTCCTTAGGATAGGGTTTTTAAGCCTTAGGGAGTTTTTAGGGCAATTTTAGAGCCCCAAACCCCTTGTGAAAAAGAGGAAACATAATATTATAGTTACATAATAGATTTATAGACGGATACAGATACTCCGAGATTGTAAGACATCAAAATGCTTGAAATCCCAAATGTCATTATAGAAAACTAGAAGTCTAGAAATAATACACGAAGTTTTTTTCTTTTTTTGATGAAGTTAACAATTGTATTAAAAAGAAGGGGTTACAATATACCATCTAGAGTACCCACAGACCGGGTCTCTTGGAAAAACAATTAGGCCACCGAACAGGAGCCCTGTACAAAAAATTTTAGGGCTTATAAGTTTTGCCCAAGTACACATGACATACAAGAAAGGAAAGCAATTGTTCGAAAAAAGAAGAAATGGGACCAAGAGCAAGAAAAGTAGCAACCAAACACAGCAAAAAGTCGCAACTATTATGGATCTGCAGCTTGGGCCCTCTCACCCTCCTTAGTCAGTTGGTCTGGCAAGGTGTTTGGCGTCCTCCAGATATGCTTCCATGAGATGGCTATATCCTTGCAAGTATGCGTAATCTCATAAGAAATTGAGGTCAGGTACCAAGGGGGAGGGGCATTTCCAGCAGCCCAATAGATTATGTTTTTGACATCTCCCTCAACAATCAGTGATGATTCCCACGAGTGGTCGAACATTTTGAGGCCTAGGAGAAGAGCTGTAGACTCTGCGAGCTGAGAGTCTGTGTGACCAATATGCGTGGAAAAGGAAGCCGGAGTGTTGTCGTGGTGATCTCTAAAGACCCTGCCTGCTCCAACTAGGCTTGGGTTACCAAGGGAGCATCCATCGAAATTAAGTTTGATGAGGCCTACCGGGTGGGGGGGCGACCTATTGTTGGCTCTTGAGACCCGAGGGGATTCGAATTGGAGAAGTTCTTCCCAGTTGTGAAGGAAAGATGTTGCCGAAATACCGGCAAAGGCCTTGTGATTGGATGCCCAGAAGATGACCTGAGAAGTGATCTTGTGGAAAAGGGCCGAAGCTTTGCACTTGAGACCTCAGAAATCCTTGAGTTTCTTTCGGTCGAATGACCCAAATTGCTGCTGCAATGGAAGCCTTCCATAGAAGTCTACCCGCCTTCCATAGAAGTCTACCCGCCTTCAGCCAAGGAGAATCCAAGGCGGGGTTGAGAAGGGCTGGCAGGGAGGCAAGGGTAACCTAGGTGAGTCCAAACAGCCAAAGTATTTGGCTCAAGAGGTTGAGGGCAAGATTGCAATGAATGAAGAGGTGAGAGTTCATCTCTTCCTTGCAAAGGCACCTAGTGCACAGGTTGGGAATGGGGATACCCTTCCTTTGTAGTTGATCTACGGTAAGGGCTCCTTTTGAGCTCTTTTTGAGCAAGCTATCCAATTAAAGACTCCAACTTTAGGTGGTGCAATAGTGGACCACACCTTAGATAAAACCGAGGTTGGAGTGAGGGGGAAGGTGGGGGGCTGCTAGAGTTTTTGTAGAAGGAAGCTACCAAGAAGAAGCCCGATGGGGAGGGGTCCACACCAATCTATCCAAGCTTGGGAGGGTGAGGAAAGTAGAATGTAGGGTAGCCGACAAGGTGATAAATTCCAAGGTTTCATCATCAGAAAGGGGGCGTCTTAAAGAGGGATTCCAGACCCGACGATTTTTGGAGGTAAACATCTCATCTGCAATTGTGGAGGATTTGTTGGTGGCAATAGAAAAAAGAGATGGGAATTGGTTCCTTAACAGGGTGTGGCCCACCCAAAGGTCTGACCCGAATCGAATTCTTGCCCCTCCCCTAGGGTGAAATCAAATATTTTGCTTGAAGAGAGAAAGGGAAGACAAAAGACAAGAAGGACTTCCAAGCTCTTGAGGTCCTACTCGGTGATCTTCATTCAGGGAGACATGAGTCCGGCGAGATTCTATAGTTGTTGCGAATGACCTAGGACCCGAGCGAGTTGTTTTGGGCTGTGAGTCTCCACCACCGCTTTTCGAGCAGGGCTGTGTTATGTTTCCTCATGATCCTGATTCTGAGTCCCCCCAAGATACTTCGGTAGGCAGACTTTGTCCCAAGAGATAAGGTGGAATTTCTTGGATTCGGCTTCCCCTGACCAAAGAAATGATACACGAAGTTAACTAGGCAAAACCAAAAAAGAAATACATGTGACATGTCACCACCCCAATTCTCTAATGTCAACCAAACAACTCTATGGCATCACGACACTGGGTGTTCAAGTGGATCTAAAAGAGCATCTGATGATGATGATGATGCCATTCCATCATCAGAGTCATCGTCCTCCACATATTGAGTGTCATCTCTCATCTCCTCTGAATCTACTTCTTCCTCTTCATCCTCCTCTCTTGATCTCATCACCCTCTTCCTCTTCTTCGCCATTGCCTTCTCTTGCTGGGCCTTCTCCTTCCCCTTTCTTTGGCTTTGAGATTGAGCCCGAGTGGTATGCACAGGGGGCATTGCTGTCCGAGCAGCCTCACGAACCTAGCCCCAAGTCAAGCCCTCTCTAGGGAATACCTCATCATCATTGGCATCAACTCGCCACTCGCATGTGTCACCAATATCAACAACTTTCCTTTCATTGTGCTCCAACTGTCGATGGCGCTCGTGCAACTTCTGATTATACTGAACAAAGACTAGGCCGTTCAGTCGCATATGCTCTAGTATGTTCCTCTTCTTATATGCGCCTAATAGAAAAAAATTTACTTAGTTATTATGTAATAGGTAACTAACTAACTAACTAACTATTGTCAAAAAAAAGAAGAAGAGTTAACATTGTCCAAAAAAAAAAAAGTACGTATTAAACTAACTATTAACTATTAAGTAAATAGTAATATTATCATTTCAAAGGTGCTGAAATTGTGCTCACATTCAGACGAGTTTAAGTCAGATTTAGTATTTTCATGGCCATCTGCTGCAAATAAGGGTGCTTCCTGCATGGCCTATCCACCATGCACTTATTTTACGTAAATGTAATTGTAGTAATTTAATAAATTAAGTATTTGGGGTAATTGGAATAAAATACTCAAATCATAAAATCAAATTGAGGAAGTTCTAAACTTACCAGGAGGGATTTTGAACCTCTGCTTGATTGCCACCTCCTTACTAAGAGACCAAGTAGCGAGCCTATACAAATCTACCTCCATCATTACCTTGTCCTGCACTTCAGGATCAGGGTTGAGCTTTACATTGCACTGGTTGAATGCATTTATGAACGTGAGCCGGCTATATACCGTAGGATCTGTGTAAAAGTGAGCAGGGTTAACGTAGTATCCTGCAAATTGTAGGGGCCTCTCAAGCTAATAGTTCCATTCTGCAATGATCTTCAAACAATCCTCATACGTTTTTTCATTATGCTGAATAAATCTCTTGATTTCTTCCTTTGCATCCTCCATGGCTTTATAGATAATGCCCCATAGCTGGTTTCTTCTCAGCATCAACCATATTAAGAACCTTTATGAAAGGGTGAAAGACATACAAGGCATATTGTACCTTGTTCCAAAATCTTGAGTCCATGATATTATCTCCATAACAACTTTTTCGTCAGCCTTTTTGGAGCACTTGGATTTGGTCTGATCCTCAGATACATTCATGGACCTCAACTTTTCCTTCTGCTCATATCCAGATTGCAAGGACAAGTGGAAGGTGGCAAATTTAGTCACCCCAAGCCTCGCCAAGTTGTGTCATCAGTAAACTTCTTCATCCTAACTAAGACCTAACCACATAAAATTCCCTCAGACAATTACCCTCAATGACTCAATGCATTCAAAAGACTCAAAATAAGTAACAAACTAAAGCAGCATAATACTATAACCATAGTATAATGTATACTATATAACATAGGTTAGGTTCTTACTTGAGTGTGATTGTATAAATAAACTGTGACTTTCCTCGCCTTTTGGATGGTTATCTCGAATCTCTGCTTCTTACCAATGGCCTCAAACATGAGGTCTATGCAGTGTGCTGCACAAGAGGACCAGAAAATATGCGGCCTCTTCTCCATCAATAACCTAGCGGCCGTCATATTAGCTAGGAACATATCGGTCGCTACTTGGACCACTTTATCCTCCCCTATCTCCTCGATGCACTGGTCCACCAAATTAGAAATGGATTCTGCATCATGGGACTTGTTAGAAGCATCAATAGATACCATCAAATTCATGATGCTTCTGCTTCTATTATCACTCCAACCATCAGTCACGATTGTACAACCGTATACACCCCACACATCCTTGTGGGTCTTCAAATAGTTATTGGTTAGCTCCACTTATTTCCTAAGTAATGGCCCTTTTAAACTCATAAGCAGATGGAGCCTTAAACTCTGGCCCAAACTGGATTACTACTTCCAACATAGTCTGGAAGCTACTCAAGTTAGCGACGTTAAAAGAAATGTTTGCTTGGAAGAACCCCTGGCCACATATTGGGCCACCTTATCTCTATCTTCTTTCTTAAAATGGGTCTCTAAACTTGTTTGACCCCTTTCTCGTAGCAGAATCTCCGGATCAAGGTGGGGGAAGAAAGCATTCATAGCCATCTTCTTTTTGGCATACTAGACGATCCAGCCTCTGCATAAACAACTTCTCCCTCTCCTCTAACTCCAAAAAACTCTACACTCCTTAGAATTTCTTCGTCTTTTTCTCACCTCCTCTTTCTTGTTTTTCGCCCCCTCCAAGACCTCCTTCACTTTTAGGGGTGCACACTTTATCCTACCTAAGATGATAGAATTTTCTCTTTCCTCCAAATGAACCCCATAGAAAATCCTACATCATGTTTTCAATCTTTTTAATTATCACCACCGGCATTTGAAGCAAGGACATCTGATAAATAGGGAGGAAATTTGCAAGGCAAGATTGCAACAAAGTAGCCCTCCCTCCCAAAGAGAGAAATTTGGCTTCCATAAATCCAATTTAGTCTGCACACAATGTAACACTTTATCCAATACTGAGACAGGTAACATTCTATTTAACGTGGTTTCAGATATTGTATGCGGTGGGGTCCATCATCTACAGGGAAGCCACGTGCCTGTGCCTGGAAAATGCTTTATATTCAGGTATGCCATGTAATTCCAACACCGTGTGTGTGTGTGTGTGTGTGTGTGTGTGTGTGAGAGAGAGAGAGAGAGAGAGAGAGAGAGAGAGAGAGTAGTAGTAAAGTAAGT